TGGTGATTRAYGAGAGGCAGTAACTGGTTCCCCTCTTCTTCCTTCTGGTGAGACATGTATTTTGGGCAGCACAGAGGAGCTATGTGCAGAATCCAGCATGGAGCAGAGCTCCTGAGGCAGAGTGGCAGCAGTGGGGAGCTGTGTTTGCTGGACAAAGCTTTTGGTGAGCCGTGCAAGAGCAGTTGGTGGGCACAGCCCCATCCTATCTTTGGGTTGTGTTTGGACATGGGAACAGTCACATCAGCTCAGTGAGGCTGGGGTCTTGTTTTGGGAGGTGCTGGGCAGTTCCCAGCAGCACATGCACGAGGGTGAGGCTGTGTGTGGAGCAGCCTGGCACTGAGATGGGGAGTGGAGATACCCTGTGGAGCTCTGCATGCTCACAYGGGCTGACCTGCAGGGACAAGCACTGTCTTTTTGGACTTTCGCACACCCTGTTTTCACACAAACATTTCATGTAGATTTGTAACATGCAATAGCTGCCGAGCATATTTTACACAGTCACAGTCTAGTGACTGAAGGATCCACTAATTAAGAAGCCTCTAATTAGGCTTTTAAATGATAAACWGTAATAGCTCTAGTGCAGCTGTTGTAAACTATAGAGTAAATTATATCCAGTTGAAAGAGGCTTTAATTACGTGATTATATAACATACTCTAAAGACTTTGAAAGATAAAAGAATTTTTAGTATCTGCAATTAAAAAAACAAGGGAGTAACAATAGAGCTCTTAAACCAATGAAAGCAAGGAAATTCAAAGTTAATCTGAAAAGCTGTGCTGGTACTCTTTTATTCTTATGGTGTTCTTATTTTTGGAGGGTTGTTTTTGGTCTTTTTTTGTTTTCATGATGGATGAGATACRGAAGTATTGTCACTCATGAGTTTATGTCTCCTGCTGTCATTTTTCTCACTTTTATAGGTCCATGTACAGCATCAAAGATACTCGGCAAACTTTCTGTGGCTTCATTTTTTGCAGAAATCCCTAGCAAGAACACCCTTATCAGCCAGTTTGTCTCCTTGCATTCTGATTTACAGAATGGTTGTTTGTACACATGCTTTTTTTAAGTCTCAAATACTGGTCATATATGACCCTTGGAGACCATGTTCAGGTCAAATCTAGCCTGCAATTTTGGCAGCCATTCACCATGCTGGGATTACCAAGTGGAGAATAGGATTGGATGTATCTGGGACAATTCAGCTATGTGGAGACTGTACTCTGGGCTTTTTTGTTACAGGGCTTGCTCCTACTGCACTGAAACTGAGGAGGGTTTAGCCCTTGCCCACACTGGGCAGACTCCAGTCTGACTAGCCTTTAGACACCAGCAGTGTTCCCCTCAGCCCAGTTCTGCCTGGCAGTGCCTCCTTGGGAACCTCACCAGCACTTCTCCAAACTTGCATCTGCTCTCAGCCTCCCTCAGCCCTGTCTGCTGCCCTTCCTTGCCACCTCCAATCACAACTGACACTGAGTGCTGCAGTGAACAAATGCCTTTTTTCAGAGAAAAGATGTCTCTGATGTGCAGTCCGTTGCCTGGTGGCTTTACTCATCTGTTGCCAGTTCTTTTGGTTTCTTAGATTACTGCTCCTCAGGACAGGGGCTGTGCTTTTCATGTGTGCGAGCTGCCACCACATAGAAGATACAGACAGTAGCCTGTGATGTGGAGAGAGCTCAGTTCCTATAGCTGCTCTTAGGGTTTGGCCCTCACWGCTGTAGGACCAAGCAGCCCATGACAGCCAAACAAGTAGTGCTTTTTGCTTATTCCAGCCACATTCAAGTATTTTTATCTGGAAATGTCACAGTGAGGGAAGTAAGGAATACAGTTCTCATAGTTAATTTTTATGGCTGATTAATTAGCCCAAAGAGTATTAAATTGTGCTAATGTAGTTTGCCTCTTCGATGCTGTCTTTTGACTTCAATGGAACTAAATACATGCTTAAAGTTAACTACATGCCTAAGTGCTGTGGTGAATCGGGGCCTAGGGCATTAATTAGAACTTGGCTCAGATTTACTTTCAAGGCTTTTCCCCCTCTTTTTTTTTTCTTACTCTTCAGCGCTCAGCAGTTTAATTGGTATGCAGATGTTCCCCTTTATTGCTGGCAGAGGCCTCTGTCACTGTTCTGAAGGTACTCAGACTTCAAGGCTGGTACAGTGGGCAGGAAGAAACCCCCCCTGAGGGCTTTCAAGCTTTGTGGGAAATAATGATGTATGAGACAGGGATTCCTTTGGAACCTGAAGGGAACATGACAGACAGAATAATATGGGAGGAAAACATTGTCTTCACAATTGAGACTGATGGTCTCATCTTGTCTCCTTGTTATTGTTACCAACCAAGACTGAGATGAGCTTTCTTATGAAGAACTTCATTTTGTGGCAGGTTCTATATGTTGGACACACTGCGCTCAGTGGTAGCTTTCCATCCAAAGTGCAGATATTGACAGGCTCTGAGGAACCCTTTGAGGTAGTGGTTTAGCTTAAAACCTAAAATCCTTCCAGCATTGAGATGCATTTTGTCAGGAATGACAGTTGCAATTTGATAATCTTTTACCACTTTGCTTGCCTATYCGAAGCCTCTAGCTGGAGGGGAGAAACCCAGAGTTGTTGGGCACAGGAGTGTCAGCTTTATGAATCAGCTTTTCTCACACTTTATTAATTTCACTTTCCAGTGGTTAGTGCATGTTTGCAAGAGACAATTGATTTGTACGGATCTGTGTAGGATGGAGCAAAGCTGGAACTAAAGCAGGAGTTGACAGCAATGCAATAGCTCTAATTGACAGATACCAAAGGCACTATTTAAAGCAACATCTCCTCTGAGTTTAGGTTAAAAATGACCCTCAATTTGTCCTCAAGTTGCCATGTCCAAAAAGGAGTGTTTTTATAAATACTCATTTCAAACAGATTAGATGAAATATCAAGTGCTTTTTTTCTATGCTTGTATTTTCAAGTTAAATGATTCCAACTGCTGTTGCACAAGGTACTGGAAGATGGCTGTTTCTTAACTCCTCCAGAGTAAAAGCTGTCTTTCAGGGGATGCTTTGCACATGGGAGATTTATGTTAGTATTTTTTGGCACCCACAGTTTGCATTCCAGCTAATGGGAGGCAGAAGGACTAATACACTGTGGGTACAAAATGCAAATGGAAATTACACCCAATGTGGAAAGGGCTAGGAAAATGTACCTTCTTGGATGTCAGCAGGGCAGGTTAGGAAGCATCATCTTCCTTTTACAATTGTCTGTTACTCTTTACATTTCTGGAGAACTGGGATCTTGCTGTTAATCTTACAAAAATAGATGCTGTGGTGAAGCCTCAGGCATGAATAAAATTGGATGTTAATCTTAAAGTAGATTTTTTACAGCTATGCACTCAGAGCAGTGAATCCAAATGATTTTAGAAACAGTGTTTTTTACTTATTTAGATCAAAATGCTGTGGGGAAAAAGGTCAGTGGCACAGGTACATATTGTAACATTTGGGGATCCTGAAAGCTGAGCAGATAAGCACAGCAAACATTAGACATCTCTGACTTGACACAAATAATAGGCAAAGCTGAAAAAAGCCTGCTGACAAGAGGAGTGGGTGTTGGTGGGTGACTTGCTGCAGTTTTAGAGCTGTTAAGTGTAGGTTTTTTAGCATTTTCATTATTTAAAAGTGGAGTGGTAGTTTCTTCACTCCCTCTGAAAAGTTACTAATTTACTCTGAAATACAGGGTAAGCCACAATGATTTAACAGATGTGTAATGTGCTTTAGAGTTTTTTTAAGTAAGACACCCTCCTTCTCTCCAAGCTTCCCACTGTCTCAGCTCTGCCCTCGCTCTGTTCTCTGTGTACATCTGCACCAAAATGCAAAGCAGGGACTGCCCCATGTGTGACTTTCATCTATATCCTGTGTCAGCTGGAGTGCCTGAGTGGCTTTGACCACTGGWGTTCATGCAGGTTTGTCTCTCTGCCAGAGTTCAGTGTGCCACAGAAAGTGATAGTGACAGGCTGAGCTAGCTACGTTTGGGTATTGAGAATAACATCTTAGACTGTGGAGTGGTTCAAAAGCTGCTGCTCTGCAGGCACTGCTGCAGGTGGACAGACCTTCCTCAGAGGAGCCCTGACACACAGAGCCTGCTTTTTGTCTAAAGGGTGGAAAGTGCCTAGTGGAGCATGACCAAGGATGGGGATTAAGGTCCCCAGGATGTTTCTGGGATGCAGGCAGCATTAATTAATCTGTGCTCCTCTGTGTCTGATTGAGAGAAGGCAGCTGAGCTGTGTTCCTGAGGGGCTGTCCAAGAAGGCAGGCAGTGTGTAGGGAGGGAAGGTGCTCAGGGCGTTTTCTTGTGTTGTCAAGCTGAACTGGTCTCAGCTGTGTCATGGCCACAGCTGTGCTGAGTAGCCATGCCTAGGACAGGATGCTCCAGCTGCAGCCCTTTTGCATGGATGGTATTTAAATTTGATGGAGCCTTGCTGAGAAGGAGCTGGCCTTGCGTTTACTCAGAGAGATCTCTGCTGGTTTGTGGTAAGGAATTGGGATCTGGGGCTGAAGCCACAACCTCCAGGACCAAACCACAGAACGTACCCAGCTGCTAAGGCTTGTCCCATTTGCCTTCCCTAATGAAAGTCTGTCATCATGCAGTTTTGTGCTTCTGTCTGTTCTAGTTTGTTGTTGGTGGAGGGAGGAATCTGTTTTGTTYAATATAGCAATGATGTCTAGCTGAGGTTAATTTTATTAGCTGCTGCTGATTTGTTGCTATTCAGTGCATCCATGGGTTTGTTTAATATCAATAACCAAAGGTAGAAGTACTTGAATAGAAAGCTAGGTGGAAATGCTAAGGTTCTGGAGGACTCCAGGGTTTCTTTTTCTCTTCTTGGTTTCCCTGTTCTAGGAGGTGTGAAGAACACTTGTCCATTCATAACTGAAGTTATTCAAGATACATGTGCTTGAAAAGGCACTTTAAGTTTCTGTCACTCTCTAGTGTGGTAAAGGTCATGTCTTTAGCAAGCCTTATGGATGAAAGCTTTTCTTACAGGGAGAGAAGATAAGTTTGTGTACTCACCTTCTATTTGGAAAAATATTGTGATGTGAAGTCTTTCTTCTTCCAGAGGCTTGAGCCACTTGCTTTTGATCTGTGAGCTCACAGTACAGGTAAGTGCAGCTCTGTTGGGCTGGATGGATGTCACTCTCAGGGATTTGTGYATGGATCTCTCTGTGGCCTGACCTGAAGAAGGGCCAGAGTTTGTTCACATTCACTTTCTGTCACTGAGAAGAAGGAATTCTGTTCTATATAATCTATAATTTCTTCTCAAGTAGATGATGACTAAAGAAGGCCTGAACAGTGTATAGATTATCTTATATTTACTTGAAATGAAGGTAGCTCATAACTCTTATTTTTGCACCACTCTGGAACTAAAGCACACATTTTAGCACCACTACTGTGAACAGATTTGCAACGTCTACCTCTTCCTTACCTTGGCATTCTAGCTTTTATGCACTCACTGCACTGACAGTGCACTATCACATTTTTGCAGTGATACTTGGGAGTTTAATGAAGCCCAAGTATCTGAAAGGTGAGTAGGTAAAAGGTGGATACTTTCAGATCCAAAACTATTCCTTTTGTGTGCTTCACAACCTTATTTTAGTTCTTAAATATGGTTTCATTCTTCTGATACTAAAAGTCAGCACTGATTTCAATATGTGAGTCATCAGGAGATATTAACTATTTTCTAGTTGCATGATCCTTTGTAGCAGCATTTAAAATACCTAACTTCAACCACGTGTTTTTAGACTAGATACTTACAGAAAGCCTTTTCTGTTGTTATAGAAGAGCAGATTTAATCTGGAAGTCATTGAGAGAAACCAATAAAGAACTTCCTTTATGTGATTTTTGGAGTTACTTTCTAGAAGTGAATTGCATGTTTTCAGGCATTGGACACAAGGGCACTTGAAAGCTTAAAAAAGATTAAATGTAAATGATAATAAAAATGTTATTAGGTCAGTTGAAAATGTCAACATATTAAAGTTATATGAAATATCTCCCTGATTTCATGGGCAGTGCCTTAGTCTATATGGTTTATTGTAATAACATGGTCCTTGATACATTGATGGTAAGTGTAGCCTAATAAAATTTTTTTAGTAATCCAATTGCCTTGAATTGCCATATCAAAAGTATGTTTATTACAGAACATAGATGGTTGCTATCTGCCAGTGTTATCTCCATTAAAGCAAACTGAGCTAAGAAAGCGCATTTGAGAAAAAAAGTGCCAAGCAGAGATGATTGCAGGGTTTTGGGTTTTTTTTTTTTTTTTTCCTTTTGTTATACTTTCTGGAAATATTCATTAATGGTTGGAGATGTGGTCTTTCAACTACATTTCTTTCACTCAGATCATATGCAAATTGCAGGATTCTTCAAGCATAAAGTCATTGCCACAAGTGTRGTATTAGCATTTCTTTTAATAAAAATAACTTTGGAATAGGTACCTAGTTTGGTGAATTGCCTTCCTTGTCATTCATCAATGTATAACATCATTGTAGAACTACAGTAACTGGAAGGAAGAAAAATACTAGAAGGTGTTACTTGGAGCTGGGTCTGGCAGAGGTCTGCCTTTCTAGAAAAGAAATGCTGTTTTTGGTTCTTTATTTTGCCCTGTCCTTTTTATGCTGTTGTGTACTGGAATAAAAGTGAACTCTAGATGAGCTGTGAGTYGCCTTTGGACCAGACTTTGGGAGTCTCTGCTCTAGCATGTATTTTGCTGTTAGTTTATCCTGCGGGACTTTATTCACAAAATCTCAGAACATATTCTTCCAATAAGATTTCACATAATTTGATAAATGCTTGAATAAATTTCATACCATCTTATCAAAGGAGACAATAGTTCTTTCTTGAGAAACTGAGCTTAAGTGAAATGCTCTTTTATGCTGGTGGGATAATAATTAAGAGTACAGATCCAAATCAGTGCTTTGTTATTCTGTTGCAGAAGTAGACTGAATGAAGCCTCTGTCAAGAATCCTGCTAAAATTCTCAGTTAACGTAGCCAAGAACCAGCACATCAGGAGTATAGCCWTCTATCAAGAATAGTGTGGAGATACACCTTGCTCACAGAAGCTCTGGAAACATTGTGAACTCAGACCCAGTGCATCCTCAGACGACAGGGATGTTGCTGCTCTCTGAGTACTGCACACTGTTTTAATGATTGATGGAAATAATGGGCAATTTTGGGAACTTAGTAGTATGTATGGGAGACAGACACAGGAGCTCTAATAGAGTGGCTGATTTTGTGGGGCAAGGTATAGCTTCTGTTCTCTTTTGCACCTGCAAACCTGGTGTAATATTAATTAGATTGTTATTAGGTTTCATTAGTGAAGCTCCATAAAACAAAAAAGGAAATGTTCTGGTGATACTAAAACTTGGTATGTTATTTATACAAAGCAGGTGAGCAGTGTTCAGTAGTCGTGAAACACTGCTTTTCCAGAAATAMGAAATGTTTAGGTAAAATGGCTAGGTAAAATCTAATGGGGATTTGATTACTAGCTGGTAAAATGGTGCCTCTTCCCTTCTAAATAGGTTTGATCCTCYCTTCAATGCAAGCCCTGCACCTTCACCTACATTCCTTCCCAGGCAGCTGCAGTGGATCTGCTCACCAAGGGAATTTGGCCCACTGGATTCCTTTTCTTTCTGTGCAGTTGAATGAAAAGTGTGTGTCCTTTGAAGAACAGCAACTGAAAGAAATATTGATGACTGCCAGGGCATCAACAGAAAAGGATAAGAAAATTACTACAACAGCAAAGACAAAGGGACTTTGTTAACTCTTTCTTGTAGGTTGTATATATTAATAGTAACAAGTAAAGTTTTGTATTTTTTTCAGAGAAACACACAAGGCCTTGAATTGTATTGTTTTAATTGCAGCTAACTGAATGAATTAAGTGGAAAATCACAAACAGTACTTTGATTGTCTAACTCTGTATGTGAGGCTTTGGGAACAGTTTGTTATTATAAAAGAACAGCACTAACAAGAAATCAGCCAACATGTAATTGCTGGGTTGAGGGGCAGTTTGGGGAAAGCTGATACTTATTTATAAATTATTAAATAAAAGCACATAATATGTGGATCATCTCTCACTGCCTCCACACTTCATACATTACTCATCTTCCTAAATTTCATGTTTTTTTACTCCCTTAGTACATTGCTGCTTATAACCAGTGCAGGCATCAAAAACACCCACATCCAGGAAAGGAGATGCCTGTGTGTTTGTTATGATGGCAGTTCTGGTTACGGGACTCATCTAAGATTAAGAACCTTCASTTCAAGGGAAGGAGTCTAGTCAAGACTTTTAAAGGTTGTTTTCCCTACGTAAAATACACCTSAGCACCTGGGACTGTTCAGATGGCTGAAACTCTCACAGCTGTTTCTGCTTGACTGGCAAGGTCTGTTTCAGAGGACACAGATGCAGTTCCTCATGTGCCACTTTAGAAGGGTTGGGTAATGTCTGGCCTCACCAGTGAGATGTGTGTTACAGACCAAGAGCCCCTGGTGATCTGCAGCAGAGGGTCTGGGGATGGAAAGCTGTGCCAGCACCTGGATAGTTGGCCCTGCTGGACACATCTTTGGACTGGCTGAGCTTCTGCATACAATGACATTTGTGCTGTACAAACAAACCACACTATTAAACCATTTTAACACTGTCTATGCAACTTTAAAATGGTAGAGGCTTGATTTTTACTTCATCTGCAGGCTTTTGAAAACTTACATGTCCATGCTGAAGTGGTATGAAGATTAAATTGCCAATCCTAGCTCCCAGCCTAGACTGTTGCGCAGAAGGTGCCTGAGAGGTGGACCTGGGCAGAGTTCAGCTTTATACAGCTCTTGCCAAGAGTTATTTGGTATCCCTGTCACTGTTTATTGAGGTAAAAAAATATTTTCCCCCTAATAAGCTGTTTTTCTTTGAGAGAACACAGCTGCATTTATGACAGGTCTTGGCTTCTACGGTAAGTTTGGTTTGTATAGTTTCCTCTCTCTATGTATGTTGTCAGCGTAAGTACCAACAGTCATAATGTAAAACACAGTTTTGTTACAGGAGCTTTTAACAGTGGTTTTCAGTAATTTAGAAAACATCGGAGCTATTTCCAAAAAATGAAAAAAATCTAAACAAAGCAGCTTTGAAAATATTGGTACACTTTGGCAAATAAATCTTTGGTTTTAACCAGTTYCATTATTCTCTCTCTGATACTAAAACCAATATAAAGCACTATTGATTTCAACCATCTCAACAGAAGATACCATATGGTTTTCACCCCACTGTCCCTTGTGTTGGAGGGCTGAATCTCGGCCATGGTTTTGTGCAGCCTTTGGCTGAGTCTTAAGAGACAGCCTCTATTCAGGACTTGTGTTTACTGTGAAACTGTCTTCCCTGCACCTCTTTTTCCAGCATGATGTGGGAAAGTTCGTGAATTGAATTCTTCTCAATTACAAAAGTCATATGGGAGGCACTCAAAATGTAGGGCCTTTCAAACCCTTGTGAGTTCACAGCATTTAAAGATAAGAGCACAGTATTGCCCAGAAATATGTCTTGTTGAGGCCCACAATTAACTTTATCAAAAGAAGGAATCCTTTTTTTGCCTGCTGCATATAAAGGTTGCATCTCCAAGCAGCCTAAAGTTAAAGATAGAGATAGCATCTGTTTCAGATCACGATATGATGAAAGATTCAGGTTAATTAGTATTTATTCTTAGTCAATAGTTATTCATTTTGGCTTGAGCTACCAAGCAGGAGTTGGAGTCCCATGAAGTTGTGTCTCCTGGGATCARATGAATGAGGGAGATGGTCTCAGTGATGCAGATCTATTTAGGGATGGAAATGTCAGTAAGAAAGACTGGCCATTGCCTTGGGCTGGGATAGCCCTCAGGGAAGATGCTCTGAGGGRTAGCTCAGTGCCCGCAGGGAGCATTGGATGCAGGCATGGACTGACRCATCCTACAGAGCCACGGACAGCAGGAGGTGTCCTGGTTCGTTGTTCGATCCAGTGCCCTCACACCTCTGTACCCACACGACCTCTGTCCACCATTGCCCTAACCGCGTGTTTTTGGCCATGGGGAGCAGCTGCAGAGAAGGTGGCCTCCCAGAGCCCCTCAAGGYTTTCAATTCCCCTTTCTTGCCACCATTTCCTGCAGTACCACACGGGCTCTATCAGCAAAACCACCACAGTCTAATTGCAGCTGTTCATCTTAGAGCTGTTTTTTTTCCTGAGGTCTCCTAACTGCTTTTGCAGCCAGGAGGAGCCCASCAGCTGGAGAGCAGCTTTCCAAGCTTTTTCAGTTCCCATTTTTATACTCTTTTTTTTTTTTTTACCCCTAATAATGTTCAGTTAAAGTTGAGACATTTCTAGCAGGATCTCCTGTGTATCTGGGCAGAGTGCCTCTTTTCCAGTAACCTCACGGACTGTTTTGTTCCCTCAGACTCTCACAGAGAAGGTAATTTCTGTTTTGRGGGAATTCTCTGATTTCACAGGTTCCAGTGGCTGGGACAGTGCCATAGTGGGCAGGCACTGGGCCCCCTGCCCCACAGCCACAGGGCTCTGCTTTCCYGCTCTGTGACACAACCGGCTGGGTCCTCCCAGCAGGCGAGGCTGTCGGGAGAGAGACCTGTGTGGGGCCATTCCTGTCATGAGGGGCTGAGGTGATGGCAGGAGGCTGGTGAGTGTCTCTGGGCTGAAGTGATGGCAGGAGGGCTGTGGGTGTCTGGGTGTCCCAGGGCTGAGGTGATGGCAGGAGGGCTGTGGGTGTCTGGGTGTCCCAGGGCTGAGGTGATGGCAGGAGGGCTGTGGGTGTCTGAGCTGAGGCGATCGCGGGAGGGCTGTGGGTGTCTCTGGGTGTCCCTTGGCTGAGGCGATGGCGGGGGGGCTGTGGGTGACTGTGGGTGTCTCTGGGCTGAGGCGATGGCAGGAGGGCTGTGGGTGTCTCTGGGTGTCTCTAGGCTGAGGTGATGGTGGGACGGCTGTGGGTGTCTCTGGGTGTCCCTGGGCTGAGGCGATGGTGGGAGGGCTGTGGGTGACTGTGGGTGTCTCTAGGCTGAGGTGATGGCAGGAGGCTGGTGAGTGTCTCTGAGCTGAGGCAATGGTGGGGGGGCTGTGGGTTGTCCCTGGGCTGAGGCAGTGGCGGAAGGGCTGTGGGTGACTGTGGGAGTCTGGGTGTCTCTTGGCTGAGGTGGTGGCAGGAGGGCTGTGGGTGTCTCTGGGCTGAGGCAATGGTGGGAGGGCTGTGGGTGTCTCTGGGTGTCCCTGGGCTGAGGTGACAGTGGGAGGGCTGTGGGTATCTCGGGGTGTCTCTGGTCTTAGGCAATGGCAGGAGGACTGTAGGTATCTCTGGGCTGCCGTCACGGCTCGGAGCATGGCATGGGTGCAGTTGGGCTGATTTTGCCTTGTAGACATGGCGGCACAGGCCAGCCAACATACATAGATTTGTAATTCTCCAATGCCCCCCTTTCTGGAAGTCTTTGCTTTAAAGTCTCAGCAAGACCTAAATTCAATTTCCTTGGTATGCTTTTGGCCATCCCCTTTTCCCCAGCCCTGGGAAGCAGCTGAGGAGGTGCTGGGCCCTGCACCTTGTCAGGCAGGCTGTGAGATGAAGCTGAGCTTGCAATCCCCCTCCCCAATGCTTCTCTTTGCAGGGGTCTCTCTGAAGAGCTGTGGGGTTGAATAGAGGTAGAATAGCACACGCTGGGGGTTTTGATGCAAGCTTACTTGCAGAAGACGGGGTAAAAGGACTCCCAAATTTGCACATAAGTAAAATAGGTGGAAGCACCATGGTAGTCTCCGGAAAGATTCGCGAACAGCAAGCTCCTGACTTGGAATATAGTGCTGGGCTTTGCAAACCCCTGGTCTCTCTCTGCTCTGCAGCCTGTGGCAATCAAACAGTAGCCTCAGAGGACAAAGCTTTTTGCTTTTCGCACAGGAAAATTCTAAGCTTAAACCAAACAACATATAATAAATATTAGGAGCACCAATTTCATGGCTTATGCCATCATAAAGAAACTACTAAAAGAAAAGCAGGGAAGTATTTTTGTTGCTCACTTAATTTTTGAGCTTTATTATGTCCTGCTGTGGTGATAATAAAGGCCTATTACCAAAGCTAAATCCAATTATATCAGCTGTGTTCTATGTCATTATAGTCTTGAGCATTAGCTGTTATAGTAATGCCACAAACTATTTGGGATAAGCAGCCCAGTTCTTTTGAGAGTTTGCCCAGTAGAGGCATAGACGCTTCATTGATTTGGCTACCACTTATCATTATGCCACACTTACGTGGCTCTTGTGTATGCAAAAGGACAGTCGGGCTTAGAGATTATAAACTGAGTTAAAACTGGCTTTGTTTCCCCTTTTCCTGCTCCTTTCCCCTGGTTATTAGTTGAATKACTGAAATGTGTCTTAAATAAGTACCTACAAACCCCCTGTATCTCTTATGCTTCACAGAAAGGAGAGAACAACACTCCCACCTTACTTCTGTAAGGGAGAGGACAGCGATGGRTCTGCAGCAAATTCCAACCTATAGGGCAGCTTCAGGTAAGCTCAGAAATTCAGCTGTTACTATGAAAAGCACAAAGCTTGGAAGCAGTTTGTTCCTTGTGTTGGTTGCTCCTCATGTTGGCTACTGGAAAGTAAATTCACTTTTGTGCTGTGTTCAATGTGTTTTCCATAGTCTAAGTGTTCTGCAGGTTTACTGGACAGTATGGACTCCGTGTTTTGTAGGCATGAAGAGGTGGGATGAGCAGGTGTGGGAGATGGAGTAAGGAGGTTTTGTCACCCTAGAAAGCGTTGGAGCTGGGTTACAGTTATGAGATGCTAGACTTGAAAGAAGTTATCAGTGTGTCTTTCCTTTTCTCTTGTACTTTTGGGCAGATAGAACTTGAARCTGAGAACATGAAGTAGGCCTTGGATTATTAATTCCTGCTCTTTGTTGTTCCAAAGGGATGATAGTCATCCTGCAGCCTTTGCARTGAGTCTGACAGCTCTGAGAGCACAGACCTGTTCTAGGCCTGAGCGTAGACATAGTTGTTGAGTATAAATGTCCAGTTGTTATAGCTGGTTTTCAGAGTGAGCTTTTTTTTTATGAATGTGTATTTGAATGAATATAAATATATATAAATATGAAGTGTGTATTTATATGCTTTTTTTGAACTGTTATCTCAGACTTTGTACAGGTTCAGGAAGATTATATTGTGTGTTGGTAAGTACATACTAARGAGGATGTGGTTAAGTTCACATTTTAAAGTAGCTTTTCCACCACAGGGATTAATACCTACTGCCTTCCTTTTATCTGATGACTTTTATTCTTAGTGTCAACTTCTGACATATATTTGTCTTATATTTGTAAATATATTTTCCAGAGTTATATTTTGGATAATGCCTCTGTTTCTAGCATGTCTGAAATGGCCRCATACAGAATGTAATTAAAAATCAACATGATACACTCATGTTCCTATCAGCTTTTTAACATCATACTAGGAAATACTTTTTTCARCTTTATTACATCTTTTATTTAAATTAGTATAATTGACTTGAGGAAAATAAGCATATGTACTCAAGGGGACTGGCTAAAATTATTTGTTTGTGTTAGAATGTTATGAAGGATTTTCACACCAGCAGCCATTACACGACCCAACCAATCCAACAGCATGAGGAAGGCTGTGGTTTCAAGTAGCTGGGGTGTGTGGAAAGGAAAATTTTATAGAAGAGACTTATGGGAAATAAATGAGGGCAAAAAAAGAGGTAGATATTTTTGCATGGTGTATTGACTGGTTGACAAGTCAGGCCAGACATACGTTTCTCTGTTCCCTCGTGACTGGTCAGAATTAAGCAAAAGATGTCTTGGAAAAGAAGGGAGATGTCTTGAATTCCCAAATATGATGAGTTTCCACCTGGTGATTATCATATATCTTGCTTTGTAGAGTGCTGTGTCTTTGATTTAGTTTCCTCTACTGAGAAATGGAATATGATCAAACCAGAGATTTACACTGTGGCAGGTTTCAGAARGTCCTTCCAGCAATGTCCTACATAAACACAACACAAATGCTCAAGTGTTTCTTGAAATAACATATCACCAATGTAATGCTAAWTGCTGAACGTGTACAATTACTAAAAGCACTT